TGCAAATATGAACCAGCAAACATACTATAAAGTAAAACTGGTGGAAATCACAGAATTTCAATGTGGCTGTTAATGGACACTATTTCGTAACAACAAATGAGCCACATGCGAAAATGTACTACTACACAGAAAACAGGAATCTGTTGTTAATGAAACCAGATTTCTTGTGATCTAATAAAAAGTTTTAAATGCATTTCTTGTGAAAACAACATAATTAAGGTATATACTAGACATGCTGATTTTCTGAATGTAATTCCAACTTACAAGATAGACATATTCAGCCCTGGTGTGAAAAAGCACAACTTCCACAGCTCAGAAATAAAATTGCATGTTTTATGAGACATTTTCTTTACCATTGTCACAGTATAACTGCACCCATTGACTTTGCACTCTCATCCTATTTCAATCAATGCAAATTTAAAATAATCTTGTATACAGGTTCTATTAGTAAAAACAGTACCTAGAGGTTAAGCCTACAAACTTGTCTGTTTTCTTTTATGTATAATACAGCTTCTGCAGGTAAGAGGAAAATGCTTAAGGTGAAGGCAACAATCATCAGAGCTAATTCTAACCTGATAAGAATATTGTCTGGGAATGTATAGCCAGCCATAATCTAACAGTTTAAAAGAAAAATCAAATGTTTTCTTTCGATCATTTGTTTTATTTATTAAAATAATATATATTAATATGCTTTATTCTTGCATAGATTAAATAAAACGAAACTGCAAAGAAATCACGCCACCTTATGGCAGAAAACAGCAGAACCGACGGCTGGTATTTCACACACCACGGCTCCCAGAATGAGAAGAGGAAGTTCATACTTTCACAAAAAATCCAAATACAGCCTTCTTCAGACCAGTAAGCAAATGAAAAGTGTTCAGCATATGCCCATAAAAGAAACTGCACGGAACCTACTTATACTGCTCAATTTAGAAGACTAAGTTAGATGCCAGCAGGAATCAAACCCACAAGCTAAGACAAGCATATTAATTTCCCAAGTTCACGCTTGGGTTAGTACTTTATCCATTCTGCTAAGATAACTAGGAAGAACACAAAAGCAAACAAGTAGCCTATATAATACTCTCATAATCATTATTCCAAAGGTGGAGTCTCTAAGAATTTCCTGGTATTGTTATTTCTTCTTCCAGCAACTCTAAATAGATGGCCTGAAATAATCTAAACATGTACTAACAACATTGTGTTCTAGTACACTTAGTATAACAGTACTTGGGGGAAAGTGCTGCAGTAGCAATGTTAAAGTTAGAACCAAAATCAAAGCACCTTAAAACTATTTGATTTGTGGAGTTTTTTTAATTCTTCTCTGGATTGATATTTCGCCTGGTGGCTAGGATATCAGTCCCTTATGGCATGCAGAGGGAAAAAAGGAGACTTCAAAGTCAAAAGAAGCTACTGACAGAGAGCAGTCCACACCCAAATAGTTACATGTAGTAAGGGCAATCATCCAAATAGAGATTTTAATACAAATTGCTTCTTGTCCGATTCGCATCCTGACTTAGAATGTAAGTTTCCCCATCCAAAGTAACAGCTTTAAGAACTAGGACACTGCAAAACAGAGAGAGCCTCTCAATCCCTCTTGTTCATGCTATTCAATTTATATACATTGCTGAATACTAACTAAAACATAATGGAGAAAAATTGACTTTTTAGGCCAGTAACTATAACACATCTTTGAAATTAATGGAAAATATCAAGTCCTTATTATAATGAATATTTATATATGTAAAACAGCTCCAACAACAGAAATTAAATTATATCCTTGGTATTTAAAACACTTTCTCAAATATGAGATGCGCACATAAATCTGTATGAAATTTTAATCTGGAAGAACATGGTATGAACTGGTTTTCCTATTGCACATGAATTACTAGCACTAGGCTATTAGATATTCTGAGAGGATTCTCTCCTACTGTGATCAGAAATTCTGTCAAAACTAGTAATATATAGTAACAAGCTTTTTTAATTTAGAAGAATCACCATTTTCTGATTAAGAAAGATGTAGCTAGACAGGTAGGTCCCAAACAGCTTTATCCAGAGGATCTTGCTCTGTTAAAGTTATGCACTTACTGCACTGAAGTTATGAGTGCAAAGAAATGACAAAGTATTTTCCATGACTAGAAAAAAAGCAAGACACTTAAAAGCTTCAGACAAGAAGATAGACCACAATGAAAAACATTCCTTAAAACATGAGAAATAAGTAATTACAGTTCCTACCTGCATTCCCTAAGCACGCCAGAAGCTCCTTCCATATATTGTCTTCCCTAAAAATTCAGTGCCCTGAGCTCCCCTTTAGTTCAGTGTCAGTGAAATGCCGTTCTTCCTACATTTTCCCACAGCAGGAAACTCAGAATATCTCCTTCTTCCCTCCACCCATCACAAACACTTTTTAAACACCTCCTTCCCATGTAGAGGGCTTACTGTGCCACATTCCCTCCCATGCTGAAGAGAGGTATAATCTGTACTACATGGTTCCTATGCCAAGAGCTCTGCATATATTTTTGTTTCTCCCCAGCCACAAACCTCCTTTCAAGATAAGCGTGACAAAGGGGTAAGGGTAAAATTCCTCCATTCACCTTCACATCACTACAGGTCAGGTTTTTCCAAGGAAGCACACCGGAGAAGAAGATATAAAGAAGCCATATTCTTACAGCTGGTTGAACAAGGCTCTTAGCAGAACAGCTTTTTAAATTCAGACGGCTTTTCATTCCTTGTTTTTACCAAAATTGACAAGGTTTGGCCACTAAGGCTAAGGCATCAGCTGATGTTATACCAGATGTGAAATAGCATCATTATATTACATCAGAGGCCAAAAATCACCATAACCAATGACCAACATCAAATAGATTAGGAATTCCCTTTTATTAACTGCTGACATATAAGAAGGACAAACATATTTAAGTATTTTTAAAAACTTTTCCATACTCAGTAGATAACATTCTTAGGAAGTTATATGAAAAGCCTGGTCCAAAAAAAAATTTAACCCCCCAAAATTACCTCAATGCAATGATCATCAGCTGAATGAAAAACTTAGAACATAGAATCATAGAATAGAATCATAGAATAGTCAGGGTTGGAAAGGACCTTAAGATCATCTAGTTCCAACCCCCCTGCCCTGCCGTGGGCAGGGACACCTTACGCTAAATCATATCACCCAAGGCCTCGTCCAACCTGGTCTTGGACACTGCCAGGGATGGAGCATTCACAACCTCCCTGGGCAACCCATTCCAGTGCCTCACCACCCTTACAGGAAAGAATTTCCTTCTTATATCCAACCTAAACTTCTCCTGTTTAAGTTGTAACCCATTACCCCTTGTCCTATCACTACAGTCCCTAATGAAGAGTCCCTCCCCAGCATCCCTATAGGCCCCTTTCAGACACTGGAAGGCTGCTATGAGGTCTCCACGCAGCCTTCTCTTCTCCAGGCTGAACAGCCCCAACTTCCTCAGCCTGTCTTCATACGGGAGGTGCTCCAGTCCCCTGATCATCCTCGTGGCCCTCCTCTGGACTTGTTCCAACAGTTCCATGTCCTTTTTATGTTGAGGACACCAGAACTGCACACAATACTCCAGGTGAGGTCTCACAAGAGCAGAGTAGAGGGGCAGGATCACCTCCTTCAACCTGCTGGTCACGGTCCTTTTGAAGCAGCCCAGGATACGGGTGGCTTTCTGGGCTGCAAGCACACACTGAAGCCGGCTCATGTTCATTTTCTCATCAACCAACACCCCCAAGTCCTCCTCCACAGGGCTGCTCTGAATCTCTTCTCTGCCCAACCTGTCGCTGTGCCTGGGATTGCTCCCACCCAGGTGTAGGACGTTGCACTTGGCATGGTTAAACTTCATGAGGTTGGCATCAGCCCACCTCACAAGTGTGTCGAAGTCCCTCTGGATGGCATTCCTTCCCTCCAGGGTTATCAACCGAACCACACAGCTTGGTGTCATCAGCAAACTTGCTGAGGGCGCACTCAACCCCACTGTCCATGTCGGTGACAAAGAAGATTTTCCCCTTCTTGAAAATGGGGTTATATTTCCCTTTTTCCAGTCATCGGGAACTTCACCTGACTGCCATGATTTCTCAAGTATGATGGCCAGCGGCTTCACAACTCCATTCACCAGCTCCTTCAGGACCCACAGATGGATCTCATCAGGACTCACGGACTTGTGCATGTTCAGATTTTTAAGATGGTCTCGAACCAGTTCCTCTCCTACAGTGGGTGCAAGGTCTTCATTCTCACAGTCCCTGCATCTGCCTTCCAAGACTTGGGTGGTTTGGTCAGAGCCTTTGCCAGTGAAGACTGAGGCAAAGAAGTCATTCAGAACCTCAGCCTTCTCCAAATCCTGTGTAGCCTGTTCTCCCGAGAGCTTCCTGAGGGGGCCTACATTCTCCCTTGTCTGTTTTTTATTTGCTATGTACCTGTAGAATCCCTTCCTGTTATCTTTAATACCTCTAGCTAAGTTTAATTCTAACATTATAAGGCATGACGAGCATTTGATTTTTTTATATGATACCATGATATGATTTCTAAGATATGAACATTTTGATCAGCAAAACTGTATTGTTTTGCTTTAAATGACCAGCTGTGATCACAGAATCATAGAATAGTTAGGGTTGGAAAGGACCTTAAAATCATCTAGTTCCAACCCCACTGCCACGGGGATGGACACCTCACACTAGACCATGTCACCCAAGACTACATCCAAGCCGGCCTTGAACACTGCCAGGGATGGAGCACTTATCACTTCTTTGGTAAACTAAAGTCAAAATTCCCCACAGAAAGAACAGCTATTGCTGGCACTAAGTTAAACTATTAAAGAAAAACTGTAAAAGTCAGGTGATACATGAAATCTGTATTCCCCTCACCTAAACACCATATGATGATTAGTAACTTACACTATAGATAATAGTTTCTCTCATTACTTATCAGCATTAACTACTGTAGGTTCCTCTCTAAGATTTACTGTAAGTTTTAAGTGAAAGTTATTTACCTCAAGGTCATCCAGTGAGCGAGTAATACTAAATCGCTTAGATCTTCCAAATGATCTTCGAACAGAAGAACGTGGGGGAGGAGCCTGATTTAATCCCATTGGATGTCCAAATTTTGCACCCTAAATGAAACAGAAAATATGTATCATTATTTTACTTATTCAGCTTTAGTACACTGCTGATCATAGACAGCACCTGAATTGTGAGCATTGGTAGGTACAGAATTCCAAGGAGATGGATTTGCAAACCTGTAACAGGACCACAATTTCAACACAAGCTGGTCGGTCACTTCCCATGCCCCTGCAAAATCATGTATTGACTTTTCTAGTACCAAGTCAAATATCATAAATATTCAGCATTAAGTTACTGTATAAACATCAGTCACCGGCTAGGTGGCTAAAGTGTACATATGCTACATGCCCGTATTAATAGACAGGGCTTAATTAAAAACAAGACAATCCTAGCTCTTCACTGTCTTAACTGAAAAACATGCACAATGACAAAATATGTGTCTTTCTATAGGAAACTACCATCCTAGAGACCATCTCACCCAGCTGCTGTTAGAATCTTTTTCCACACCTCTAAAAATCTTACTTTTACTACTTTTTCTGTCTGTTAAAAAAGCTTGCTAGTGTGAAGTGCAACACTTTAAATCACACAGTACAAAATGCGGGAACTTTTGTTCTGAAGAAAGAAAATACTTTACTTGGATGTTCTACGACTAGAGCTGGTGCTGCAATAAGTACGTCTAATGGCTTTCTCTTTTCCCCGTAATAATACTCTTCCTCTTTAAAGAGTCACCAGATGTCAGTTAAGCTATGACAGCTCAGCATGTACATATTTGGCTTATGCCAAATGGCAAAGCGTAAGCTTAAACTGAAGAGTAGGCACATGGTGACTGGTGCTAAGCAGATGTACATAAACTCACTGCATTATGAAAACTTGTGATTATGTGCCTGAAATTTTGGATTCCTTTCACTGTAACTCTCAATGTAAAGAAAATTCCTTCCTGTCTTCTGATGCTTTTTTGCTTTAGAAAGTAAAGGCTTTTAATTCAGAGTAAATTTTCTTCTATTTCATTTCAGCATCTTTATCACAGTAAGCTTAAAAATGTATGCATTTGTCCTTTTATAATTGCTTATTAAATTTTACATTTGCATTTTATTAAATTTTATATTCGTATTTATTTCTTCCTTTGGGCAGGTTGCTGTGCTCTCAATTCTGAAATACTTTGGTATCCCTTTGATCATTTGTTTGAAAGTCTATATACACCACGTTAACCAAAAGGACAATCATAAATTTCATATTCTTCTAATCTCATGCAAATGATGAGTAGGGAAGAGCACTGAAAATATAATACAGCTATACAGCAATTAAAAAAAAGGGATCCAGCAGAAGGTATCTGCTTGTTTGCTTATTCCCATGGAGTAAACACTACTCTTTAGCAACAGGGCTCTGACTGCCACCAGTATTCACAACACATTCTGTTGACAAGCTCCCAGAAATGTCAAGACATAGCACAGCATAGAGGAATCTGGATCCCAAGTATGTAGCAGGGTTCAGCACTGCAACAGGCTGAGACTCCAACTTCTTCATGCAGTATTAAAAGTGATATATTTTTATGTGAAATCTCAAAACCTCCTTCCCTTCCAATTTTCAGTTTACTAAGGGTTTTTTTTTTAATTGGTTGAGAAGAAAACTGGGCAGTTTCTGTGATGAAAAACTCAGAATCTGGCAACTGGAGATTAGCTTCTAAGGTTTTTAAGAAAATATTTTAAAAGTACAGTATAAACAAGGAAAGATGTTTTTTGCTAAAATTATCAGCCACACATGTGGTAAGGGAAGATTCTGCCAATGTTCACAGATAGCACCCACGGGAATGAGGACAGTTCCTGGGTTTTTGAGCAACATTTCAAAGTTCATCCAGGCAGATACCACTGAGGTGGCTCACACTTGGCTCAAACCTTACAGTCACAGCAGTCTTTCCTGTCTGAACTGAAAGCTTATACCTAATGCAGTAATCTGTGTCCAACAGTGAACTCCACATCAACTCCTGACTAATTTCAGCAGTATCCATTACTATTACAGCATAACATACCAAAACACTAACATGGTTCCTCCTGGTATATTCCTGTTAAAACAGCATTAATACATGTGTATTAATGTGTATTCATCACTAGATTTCACTCGTCAAGTATGACCACACTAGTTTTGCATTCTTTAAGTTTTTAATCTATGAATTAGTAAAAAAAACCCTATCAGACTGCAAACAGCTCAGCAAATTCTAAGACCAGTGAAATTAATGGCATCGTTAGTGCAAGTACAACTGCTGTCTTGAAACTAATGAACTGGTGTAATTATTACTGGCTTGATTGTCTTTCATGTATTTCTCAAAATAAGATGCACCCCTCAGAGGACTTCATCTTTCATAAAAGAAAAATGGTGAAAGGAAACAAAGGCAAAACACTATCAATAGCAGTCAGATCTATTTTGAATAACAAATAGACTTTCACTTTTCTTTCTCATTCAGCTCAAGAAGAATACAAACAGTCCAGTGTATGTTTGAACAGTGGAGATTGCTGTATACAATTCTGGAACATTAAAACATACAACCAGAGAACACACACTCAAAAAAATCTTGAAACAGTAACGTTACAAATTGGAGGAAGAGGAGCAAACTGCCTGAAGACAAATCTAATTAGATTCCACTGAGAAGCAGATTCTAGATAAGATTATCACCAGATGCCCCACTTCAGAAGCAAATGCTGCTTACCTATTTGTGGTCAGAAACATAACAACGAGAAAGAGTGGACAAAAATACTTGCAAATTGTGTGGTAATAGAAAAAAAAATAGGAAATTAGTATCCAATCAAAGTTTTTATTTACAGTTTTTGATATTCTCATACAAAACTCACTACTAAGCTCTGTATTTAATGGTGAAGATAAGACCAGGGAAGAAGAAACCCTGAGAATAAAACAGTGCTTCAGAAACACAAAATACAAAAATTCACTGAACTAACCATTTCCCCAACCCAACTTTGTTTTCCCCCACAACTGCAATGAGGAAAGCGCTTTCAGCTGACAAAAATCTCACTCTTGCTCTGAAGAATCAAATTAATAATCTAGAAAATTAAGGAAGACATTGCTAAAAAAAAAAAAAAAAAAAAAGGAAAAGACTGCAGTTCACAACGTATTTAATTTCCTGGTAATGGTGCTGAGAAGTCTCCCTTTTCATCTTTTCTTGACTCTGTTCCAGACATTCAGACTGGAAGGTTTGCCTATGAAGGCAAACCTCCTTCTGCAGATCAATCTGAAAAAGTGCCTTGCACACACACATGCACACAAATAAAGAATTGTGTAGCTTAAGCAAATAACAGCATCATTTTGGCAAATGGTTTTCATGGGACTCTGAAGAGCTGGAAATAAAAGCTTCTAAGACTTGAAGACAGAACAACCACTGCAACTGTAATGTACTAATCAGCATGGCTAAAGAGATACAAAGTATTTGACCAAAAAGATACTGCTTGTGCAAGGACTGATATTAATATAAATTTTTCAGTTTATTAGCTATAAGAAAGCATACTTCTAAAAGCCTTTATTACACTATTAAACAGATACTAAAAAACATTAAATGAACCTAAAAAGATTTCAAAACACTGCACTACAGGACCAACAAAAAGCTGTTCTGTTCATTGTTATCTGCCAAACTAAAACACTGAAATTTGTTACATCAACATTGGGCTGTGGGATTTTTAAACACAGATTGCCTGTAAACCTTAGAACTACTTACTATCATATCAAGATTCTATTCTGGAAAAAACTGTGTTGCTGAATCTATAAAATAAAACTCTAAAAATATCTAGATATTCAAGAAAATCTATGTCCTTTCCCAGAACCGTATTAGAAACTAAAGTCCATCTGACATTTCACTAAGTCTCTTTATTTTAAGAATCCAGAAACAAACAGAAAAGCACAGAAACTTGTGAAAACAAGTTGATTAGTGAAAAGCACATGCTACAGCAATACATCCTTTGAATTTTGCAATACGAAACTGCTTACAACCCTGCTACTACTATTATGGTGAAAGTACAAAAGAGCGTATCTAAAAGCCTTTATCCTGTTATGACTTGGCAGATGGAGAGGAAAAACAACAAAGGATTAAAGGAATTAACACACTGATGATCTAAAAAACAACATTCCTCTTTCTATTCTTGTAACAAAGTAAAAATTATGAACTAGCTTGGACTGAAATACCAGTTAGACATATAAATCATAAGAGAAAAGCAGGACAATGAATGGGTCTGCATGATTTTAACATATGTCTAGATCACCCTTTTTCCTCTAGGCTAACAGGAGATGGCAAGTGCAAATACATTTCCCTAAATTAACAATCAATCACTTACCAAACTGTAGTCTTTCCTTTCAAATGCATATTTTTAATTTTTTTTTAACTTTTAACCTGCTTATTTGGCCTTGTAGATGAGCTACTTCCTAATCTACTTGACAAGTAAAGCATTGAAAACAAAAGTCCCCACAGGGGGACGGACATAGCAGCAGTTTGTGAATGTGTCCAAATGAGAACAGTTTATGTCTGGTAACAGGAAAGGTTTATAAGAAAAGTACAAATGAGAGAGTGGAAAACGTACTTCATGTACTAGCAAGACGGAGTGAAGAAGCATATGGGCTTATGATAGACTGCAAACAGTGGGAGAGAAAGTACAAAAATATTACAATACAAGGTGACTTGCATAAATCTAGTTATTTAAAGACAGAAAGAAAAAGGATGAGCTCGTAAAAGTTAATTCTGATAAACAGGTTAGGTTGAAGTTCCAGATAGTATTCTTTTGAGCAGTTGTGCAAGCTTTTTGCATGTACCTCTGACCACCCTTGCAGCTCCCAAATTGCAGCAGGCTCCCCTCTGACCTTCACTAACAATAAACTGTAGTTTACAAAATGAAATAATCCTCTTTGTAAAACAGATCCACAGACAGTCATGCCAACACAACTGATGATGCTCCCTGCCAATCCAGCCTGAGCATGACAGGAACTCTTTAAATTGGTACTACCAAGGAATCATAGAATGGTAGAATAGTTAGGCTTGGAAAGAACCTTAAGATCACCT